GCAACCGAGCGAGGGTGGCCAAGTGTGTCACAGGCTGAGGAGGCTCGAATGACCTGAAGAACGAGGAGGAACCATGAGGTCAGAGCGCCAGAGAGCAGCTGTCCCGGGAAGCCGACCGCACTGCGCAGACTCGGCCTCCAGCAGTCCGCCTTGGGGAAGACGCTGCCTCCCCTGCGGGTACGGCCCACAGACCCTTGGAGAACTGCAGGAACTCAGCCCAGCCAGGCCTCCCCACCCCGATTCTGCCTTTGAACAAATCTCCCGGTGACTGCATGCGCGTCACTCCTTCGAGAAGCACCTCCTCTGGTGTTTTGTTTTGTTTTGTTTTTTCCCGTACCAGGGATCGAACTTGGAACTTTTCACTTGTGGGGCAGGCGGCGGAACCACTGAGTTAAATCCCCAGCGGGAGAAGCACCTCGTCTGGAAGGAAAGGAGGAGCGCAGAGGCGCTGCGCCCCGTTCGCTGCATCCGGGCCTCAAAGCCTGCGCCGCGCAGGAGTCCGGTGGCACAGGGGTCTTCGGGCTGCTCCTCCTCCCCAAGACAGAGGCACAGGCCGGCCACCTTGTCCCTCAGACTCTGCGGTCTCCTTGGAGATATTTTAGAATTTTGGCTGGAAATAACCGACGCAGGAAGAGCCAGGGTGCGTGCCAAACAGTGAGCTGGATTACCAATGTTTTGCTCGTGTGACAAGAATTTTTCCAACTATGTTCCAGTTGCTCATTCTTATGCACTATCTAGAAAGGTCCCCACATGTCAATATAGTTGCCAGAGCAACTAGGCAAGAGAAAGAGATGAAAGGCGTCCAAATCAAAACGAGGGGTGCCAAACTGCAGACAGCTTGATCGTATAGGTAGAAAAACCTAGACCGCGTCAAAAAAAAGTTAGAGCTGGTGAGCTCAGTAAGGTTACAGGACACAAGATCAACAACAACAAAAATGAGCAGTGTTTTGATACACCAATACTAACTAGCTGAAAAAGAAATCGAGAAAGGAATTCCACTTATATAGCTACAGAAACTAGCCAGGTGTGGTGGTGCATGCCTGTACCCAGCACTTGGGAGGCTGAGGCAGGAGGGTCATGTTGGAGGCTATGCAGTGAGTCTAAGGCCAGCCTGAATTGTGTACAGACCCTGTCTCGAAAGCAAAACAAACAAAAAAGGAAGACAGGGATCTCAACTTGCCCCATGGAACAGGTTTGCCAACTTTCCTTCCAGACAAAGAACCTCAGGACATGGCAGTGAGCGGTGTGGGCAGATTATTTGTTAGGCAGGGGCAGAGCACAGCAAAGACAGAGGGGGCTGCAGCTTGAGAAGCTACTCTGGTGAAGGGGCCAGACTGGCCGGTTCACGGAAGAGTGAGGAGGCCAGGCTCCCTTCCTCTGGGTCCACAGGGCGGCCTGGTGGGAGACTGGGCCCCTGGGGCGGCTCTTTCCGCCCAGGGCGGTCTCAGCTCTGTGCAGGTCCCCTAGGCTCTGAGGTTTCTTGGTCACCTCCTCCTCCATGAGACACTACACACCCACCAATTAAGGAAGAAAGGTTTATCTTGGCTCAGTTTGCAGGGACCTCGGTCAGTAGCCGACTGGCTCCAAGGCAGAGAACCAGCTCAGGGCGGGGCAGGCAGGAGGCAGAGAGGGATCAAAGGAGGAGGAGGGAGGCCCTCCCCACCACACCCCTGGGACCAGCTGGCCTCCCAACATCAGGCCTAGCTACCGACTCAGCTGTGGACTCATCCACTCACTCGCCTCCCAAAAGGCCTGGCGTTAGGGGGACATCCAGATATAAAACATGAGTCGGGCACAGTGGCGCATGCCTGTAATCCCTGCATTGGGGAGGCTGAGTCAGGAGGATCACTTCGAGCTACATAGGGCATTCAAGGCCAGCCTGAACTGCACAGTCAGGCCCTGTCTCAAAAAAACAAAGTATTAAACCATAACACAAGGTAACCATAGGTTTCGGCTCCTTAGGCGCTCCCTGGTAGCAGGATGTCCCTGCAAGCTTCTTATCTGTGTGTCCTCAGTCTTGAAGGAGGCAAAAATAGGTCATCAAGGTTCACAGCCCATTGGCCTGTGTGTGGAGGGGACCCAGCCCCTCCCTGTGTGACTGATATGCCTATGTCCCAGCCAGAGTCTTAAAGTAATGAGTGAAGGACAAGCTTCGTCTGTGTTTAGTTACTCACTGTTCAAGCTGAAGATGCTGTGAATCTGAGAACGGAGTAACTCACACAAGGGCCCGACCGCTCTGAGGCTCGGTGCTTTTGACTCAAAAGCCTATGTCCTTCCTTGAATTCTACAAAGAAGGCATTTCAAAACCCAGATCTGGGTGGGGACATAAAAGTCAGGGACTATGAAAGGGGAAAGCAAACAGCCGGGACACCGAGAAAACACTGCCACTGTAGAGCCCAAACTGACTCCATTTTGAAAAAGTCACTCCTTTCTGCGAGCAGGTCACCGACCAGTTACTGGAAAAACCCCAAAGCGCCCTTTGGACCAAGTTACAAGCCCATGCTAAATGACAAAGGGCCTAGGAGACAGTGCTCTAACCCCCTCCCATTGTAGCCATAGCTCCGACCTTTGTTCAAACCCTGGTTTAGGGAGGTAAGGCAATCTTGTACTGTTCGAAGTCCGGAACCTGAGTAATGTGTAAGTTAGTGGTTCTAGACTATGAAATACATAGAGACCCCAAGTTAATTATCGAACTGTTTGCTCATCTGGAAGGTCTTGATGGTCTTTGAACCATCCTATAGGTATCTGTTAATTATCAATGTGTGACTGCCGAGTATGTGACTGCTGACCACCAACTCAAGTCAGCAGACCGTTGTTCCCTGCCTGCATTATTAACCAATCAGACACCGACCCGTCTAGAAAGCCCCTAGTTCTGCTCCTTTGCTGATAAAAAGCCTGTTTGAAACCGGGTTCGGGGCTCTCGGCACGAAACCGCTGCATCGTTGAGGTCCGGGAGTGCAGGCTCAAGCTTGCGATAAACTCATGTGATTGCATCGGATTCGACTCCTTGGTGGTCTTTGGAGATATCGCGATCTGGGCACAACACCCCCCACCCCTAGAGTGGGGGCATTGAGTGGAGGTCAGGAGTAAGCGTTTTATGGGTGGCTGCTGGGTGGGTGGGGAGGAAGACTTCAATAGCCAGTCATTTATTGCATGACTGTTATTTGCAAAACGTACCCCGTAATGTAACTCCCATCACCCGGGAGCTTACAGTTTCCTGGGGGAAAGCAGATACTGAACACCCTGTACAACAAGCAACCTCGTCAGCACTGAGATATAAGGAAAGCGCTAACCTCACGGAGGAGGTAGAAAGCACAATCGGCAGGAAACAGGAGCCCTTTCACGAGGACTCGAGGACTCGGACTCGGATGGGTGGGGAAGCAAGCGAAGGGAAAGGCGCGGGAGCCCCGGCCTGGCAGGCAGATAGGTGAGTGCTGGTGGTGAGGCTGTGCAGACTGCAGCTGAGCTTGGGAGCGACGCAAAGAACCGAGGAGGTTGTGTTTAGGGCGGTGGAGCTTTTCTGGAGGAAACTCGGACGGCAGGGCAGATGTAGGGTAAAGATGAACTATAACGGAATCGTGAATATACATGATCGGATGGCTACATGGAGTAAGCCCAGAATTAACCATACAGAAGAGGTGAAATGGGCATGGTTATCACAGCACGAGGGGAGGCCTTTGCTTTGGCCAGAAGTTGGAATCGGTCAGGAGAATGGGGGTGGGGGCCGCGTGTGACCTCGAATGACTGTGGTCCCAAGTGGAGGAAAGCAAAGAGCACAGACTGGCTGGCTTTGTGGAAAGGGCCATCATGTTTCCGACCAGGAGGGATGGGGCCGTGACGAGGTTCAGAGGACTTGGAAAAGTCTGGAAGTGTGGCTGGAGGAATCGCGCACAACGCAGCAGAGGACGCACGCGTGGGCAACAGCCACCAAAAGCTCAGACTGCCGCAGGCTGGTCTGGGCCCTGCAAGGGCCGCCCCTGCACCCCAGGGCCCACTCTGCACAGCCAGGCGGGAGCAGCACCGCTCAGGAC